AAAAAAAAAAAAAAAAAAAAATCCGCGCGGAAATTTCGTCGAACGGTCAAGGGTTGTGAAGAGCGGAAAAAGGGAAAATGTGAAACCGTGAGGGGCGGCGGACCTCGGCGAATCTGGCCAGAACGAGGAAAAGGAAGAATTTTCAACGTCATTCCCGTCTCTGGTCTAATAACGAGTACCACCGGCCACGAAACTTCAGAAATATGAAAACCACCGCTCGAATTCCGTTAATTGTCGGGGCTTCTTGTTGGAATTCGAGCAGCCAGAGCCGCTCGAGGGAAACCGCGGACAGAAATAATAGACCGACGCGCTGCGTCGCGATTACCATGGTTAATTGAAGTATGCATACAGGCTCGAAGGTAACTGCTGTTTAGCCGGATGGTTATCAAGAATCGAGGCAATGTAGTTGTGATGTTGGCGCGCGGGCAAACAGAGAGAGAGTCAGCTTATTACAATTGATCTCTTTCTTTCCTTCTTTTTCTTCGTACAGAACGAAGGCTGCCAAATTCTCTTTTCCTCTTTTCCTCTGCTGATATTCTCTGCATTAATGAGAAGTTTGAGTATACAGAGGACATATAATATGCAAGAGTGTACAAAATATCCCAAAATACACCGCTTTTGATTAAATTTAAAAGAGGTCTCTGCCATGCGTTTATAAAAATATATATTTCCATAAATATTCGTCGTTCAACAATTTCTTGGCCATTACGGTCGAATTTATTTCCCTCGCTCGCTCGTCGTCGTCGTTGAAAATCAACGACAGAATTAATGATGAAAGTCAATGAAAGTTAAAGAGAAATCATCTTGATTGAAACAGCCTCGAAACAGGATACAATTTTAAGCATATACAATTTACCGTGAATTACCGTCTGTCTCGTCGAAAGATTAGCATCAGCGTTAACCTTGCCTCCGTTCGAACACGTTCGTAAATTCAAATCGCGGCACGTCCCCTTTGTCCCGGAGACCTGGCGGGTTCCCGTGCCGGCACGGAATCAGCGTTGGGAGGACTATCCGAAAACAAGGAGTAGTTGAACTAATTGGACTCTTTGCCAGGGAGTTTGACTTGAAATTGCTCCGTAACGCGAGAGACACCGAGCGGAGGCGCGCTTAACGCCCGGGCCCCGCGCTCAAGAAACTGCAGTCGTTGCCATTTGATCCGTCTCGTTGCATTTAATCTGCTCGAATGTCGCTGGTTACGCAGCGTCCCGCCGCCCTTTAACAAAGATGAGAATCAAATTGTTCGGAAAGGAAAATTTGCAAGATGCTTCTCTGCTACAGAGTTCAACCTTTGTCACGGGCACACGTGCATTCTGATCCCGGATTCGGCTAAGGGGGAGGGGGGGCTCTATTAATTAAATATATTTGTTAAATACGTCTGTTTAGAATCGAGGTCACGACCACAACGCGATTTATCACACGTCTCGCAACTATCGCGAGTTCGCGAAAAGTTGAAATTTTAGAACGACGTCGGACGACTGGTCGCGATCGTAAGGGTCGCCCGGTGAGTGAAGAGCGTGAAACGAGAGCTCGTTTTATCCGACTTCCGGCGAAATGGTCCTGACGCAGCCTGATCGTGCAGATCCCTCCGCTGTCCACGAATAGAGCTTCCTTCTTTCTCCTTTTTTCTCTATTTTTTCTTTCTTTCTTTCTTTCTTTCTTTCTTTCTTT